GGACACCAGATTGCTCAGGGCAACAGCTTCAAGGCACAGCAGTAGCTCTTGCTACTGAGTTCGTACTCCACAGGCTCAACGCTTACCCTACTGCTGTAAAGGGCAGGCAGCAGCATCCCTTCGAAGGAGTTCCTGTTATCTCTTCTGGGCCTGCCAAACAGTTGAACTTTTTCCCAAAACATCAGCTTCCCATTAAGCACACACGTGGAAGCATGGGAAGAGAACAGGTCTGAAGAAATCTTTGCACTTCCACGTAGAGAAAAGACAGCATCAGAGATAATGAGGTTCCACCTATATTCACTACTAGTAGTATTTTACTTGTATACAGGAGCCTGAATGCCCAGTCTAGAATAATCCATTTGTAGGCAGGGGGAAGCAGCGATACACCATGTCCAGATGTTCCCAGACGACAGTCACCAAGCATCAGTTGTGCCCCAGCCCTACTAAAGGAGGACTGGAATTTACTCCTCTAGTCCTTATGTTTATTAATGCTCTTGCCCCCAGATAACTTACAGAAACTGACTCATTACTACCAGAAAGTAGGTCAGTGTCATTTAAAGCCAGTTTGAAATGCATCTCCACAGAAACTTCTTAATCTTTAAAAGGAGAACACATAAAATATTTATTGGATGGTGCAAAATGTTTGAGACACTAACAGGGAAAGCTCTTATGTATACTGCATGAAATGGCTTTCCATGCCTCATTGAGCCACAGAGCATGAAAGGAGAATGGCTTCTTGCGCTCGGCAGATAAAACGCCATACTTACCAATCTAGAAAATCACAGCACATGACTTGCTAACTCATTTTCCCAGTGCTGCGTGATCATGAAGCTTTCTGCTTTCTCTGGTATCTCCTCTCAGTCTTAATGATCCTGCTGCAGATTTTTCCATATCAGATAGGCAGCTCATTCTTAAACTTCAATATTCCTAATTATCAAGCATTCAGCATTTCAAAATGTAAATAAAATTTGCATCTCCACAAGAGTAGCTCTGAAGAAAGAATATAGCATTTGCATTCAGACTGGCTAATTCCTGTAAGATAACATTTCATAAACAAAATGCTTCATTGAACGTGGAGATTTTCAGCTTTTACAAAGGAAAGTGTACTCTAAACAAATATAAATCAGTTGAGTGATTAACTTTAAGTGTTTTGGTTTTTTAAACTAATCTTTATGTATAACTAGTATCAGCAGAACAATCTTTACTGATTAAAGAACGAAATGATAGTGAAACTCAAGCCACTGAAAATTAAGGGGTGAGGTAGAAGGTGACCACAAGAAACCATTTAAGGTCAATCAGAGAGTGAAAAAAAATCACAAAAGAAAAAAACCCACACACATACTCACAACCCAGTCAGCCTGGGTAAGATGAGCAGCATCAGCACCACAGGTAACGTAAGACAAGTTTAAATTGTGGGCAATGTAACAGGTTAAGAAGTGAAACTTAACACGCTTTCCCCTGCCGCTGCCCCACCCCCCCCAGCTTTGTCATAATCCTGTTATCTTAATTAGCCTAATTTTCTTAATTATACTTTGCAGTAACTTGATCTTTTATAGAACAACTTCAGCATTTTTTTCAGCTTTGTTCCAGTGCTGGAAGAAGCAGCAACTCCTCTGCCAAAAGCCAAAAGGCACACAATGCCTCTGAGCTTTGTCTCAGCTAGGTCTACCAGCCTCCTGCTCCCATCACTGCAGGGGAAAGCCTGTCCTCCTGCCACCCCACTCTCCAAATTCAGTGCCCTCTCCACCACCCCTTCATCCTGCCCAGCAGTTCCAAAGCGATTCCCATTCCTGCCTGGGAATCCACAAAACCTACCGACACCTGCAGGGAGCTGGTCATTCCTCCAGAGCAGTGGGCACCACACAATGGTGCTTGTGGCAAGAGGGACACCAGAAGCCCACCTGCTTCTCCTGCTCCTCACACACACAGTGCACCCATGTGCATTTTTGTGGCAGGTTAAGTTCACAAGAGCTGCTGGTCTTAACCCAAAGCTCAAATAGAAGAGCCTTTTGCCCAGAAAACAAAGGTCAAGGTCTTTATGTCTAAACCTGATTAAGATTGATTTACCCATTGGAAGTTCTTGAGGACTAACTTCTCCCACCTGGGTATTCTTAATTCTCCAAAAGTTATTTCTTATTCTCTGAGAAAGCTTACTCCAAAATATAACAAAAGTGGCAATGATGGGGGAAGAATGAGGTGGAGAAGTCATACTTCTCTTAGACACCTTAGTCTTCTCCATATTTTTCTGCCTTGTTCAGTGAGAAGCCTTCACAAGAGACCTTTGCAGAGTAGAAGGGGAAAAAAAAAAAAAAGAGAAAAAAAAAGGAAAACCAAACCACTTTCATTCATCTATGCTGCAACAATTTTATGGCACTGTTCCTAAAACATCCCATTAGTGATAGGTTTGGAGAAGATTAGAGAAGAAAGCTTGTATCCACTGAAGCAAGGTTAAATAGGCTCTTGAGTTAAGCCAAAGCCTTCCCTTAAACAATGCACATCATTAGTAATAATTACCTGTAGCCATATAATCAAAATAGCTATCATAACTGACATGAGAAATCCAGATGTCATCTTTGGCAAGGTTTGGAAAATATTTCTACCAATTATTATAAAAATGATTCTGAAAGAGAAACAAGCAATAACAATATGACGCTATAAGCCAGGGGTAAAAAGCCACCATGATGCACTGTAGAATTTCAACCCAATGCTTAGAAATACAACCAAAATAAGAACCCAACACCTAGGAAAGGCACAGGGAGAATTTCTCAACAGTATTTGATGAGAAGTAAGACTTTGTGGAATTTGATACCATTGAAAATATTTTCATACAAAGCCTACCTGCAGAACACCGTTCTGTAAAAGAAAAAAAGCACAAGATCATTTCCTCCAGTTTTTCAGTTTTATGAAAGCTTTTCACCTTTTAAATGATCTCCAGTGAACCAGCAGACGATGAGCCTTGAGTTTTTAATCATGTGTCCTTCATTTCAAGGGTTACTGTCAATAGGAAATATAATCTGTATCTCTAAATAATAAAACTGCAATAGTTTCTTTGTATTTGAAAGGGCTAACTACCAGAGCAGACAAACTTTCCCTTACTAGTAGTCTTATTTTCTACCAAACACTCATACAGTAGTCACAACCTTTAATTCTTACTGAGCCATCCCATACCTCACTCTAAGGTCTTATGTGACAAGGGCCAAGAAGGTTTAGGAACAGCAGCACAGGAGAACGCATGTATGTCCAAAGCCATCCAGCTGAGCTGCCACTTCCCTGGGGTTGATTACACCAGCCAGAGCCACTCTAGACACGGTTGTTCCAGAAGGCAGGCTCAAACAGATTTTTAGCATTACAGAAACACTTCTTACACGAGGAGCTTGTTTTCTTTTGCTTAGTCCTCCTTATGTGACTCCCTGCTGCACCATCAGCACAGAACTTGAGCTACAGTAGCAGAACCAGCAAAGAGAGAGGCAAGACAAAAAAAAAAAAAAGGGGGGTTAGAGGAATTAAAGGAAAACAAGACAAATCAGCAGCAGGCTTCCAATACTCCTGCATCAACAGAACAGCCCAACTAAGAAGGACATATCCCCCTTTCCCAAGTATCTGGAGAGCTGCTCTTTAAGAAGTAAAGCAATATCAAGTAATGTTTGTTTGTTGGCTTTTGAATATAGGTATATATTTAACTTATCCCACCACAACACGGAAAAAAAAGCAGGCAGCTGTTAGCTCCTCAGTCTCGCTCATATTTGAGACAGGAAAGTATTAAAATAAAAACTATCCACTTATTTGAAAAACATCATATTGCGAGAAATGTGTCACAGGTGAATACCTGTATGCACTCTACTCATATGAATATACTTAAGTTTCCCAATCCCCACAGTACCAGAAACAAGTTTCAAAATCTAAGAGACTGCTACATTATGGAATTAGAAGCCAGATTTTTTCTTTTTGATAACACTGATAATTTTAGAGACTTACAAACTCAATTCAGTTCCTACACGAGGGTCAGATTTTCAGCGCTGCTGCTTGTAAACTCCAGCATCCCTATATAACTGCAGCATTTCTTGCTCCCAGCCTCAGAAACACAAATGGGCTGCTAGAAGTAATTATGAAGCAAATATAAAATTCTTCCCCCACAGATACACAGTTCCTTAAATCTTAGGAGCTCTTCGTTGGCTTCTAACACTTCAGTCTTATTTGACTGTTAGCCCACAACTGATTACGCTGAAGTCACAGAAGTAACCTCTCAAAGGCACAGTTAAATAAGTACTTTCACATGCCTCGTCGTTGTTGGATTACTTGCTTCCCAGCAGTCATTTTCCCTACCATAAACTGAAACAGTCAAAGCAGGCATAGCAGAGCATAATTAAAATTCCTCTTCCAAAGCACAAGCTCACAAAGCTCTACCTAACACAAAGTTACCTGAAATTCACTAAATACAAATGCGTGAGGCAACTTTAAGCTAGACAGCAGGTAACTGACAGAAATGCACCATTTTGTAGTGGTGAATCCTATGTCTTAAATTACAAGACACATTAGGGATAATCTCCCTAGCACTGAGATGGATCAGTTGACTCTTGTTCCAGCAAAACTATTCTTTCCTACTAAAGAGTACTTTGGTCAAAAGTCAAAGAGTTTTCTTAAATACCAATAAGACACACCAGCAGAACCATGACCATTCCTTAGAGGTACACTACATACCGTTAAGACTTATCAGCATAGATTTAACAAATTAAACATCTGGTTAACATCTCAGAAAATACCTGCAACTTTCAGTGATATGGGATGCAACAATTAGAAACCTAATATGGCAAGATGTCCTTGTAACTGTGGTATCAGCAACACAATTTTCCATCTTCTGCACAAAGTCTCAGTTTCCAGCAAAGTAGCAGTACAGGGAGAAGGACCGTATTACCATTTCAACGCCAATAAAAAGTCTGTTCATGCAAAAAACATGTGGTGTGTTGCTGTCACTACTAGATTTAAAGGTGTTTTGCCCTTACCTGGATGGCTTTGGGAGCTCATTGCTAGTAATGTCTAGTCCTTTGGAGAAGGGATTCAAGACAGATCAGTTTCCACGCAAGTACCAGCAGCTCTGAAGAGCTCCAATGCTTCACCAATACATAGAAATTGGAAGTGGGGATTAAATCATGGCCACCTTATAAAATCCAGGGCACAGTGACATGCTGAGTTGTATAGAAAGTAATCCAATAGGGTGGCAGAATATCTTCTAATGACTTTCAAAATGGCAACCTGCAATTAAAGAAAAAAAAAGTCTACATTAGAGAATTAAGATTCACAACCATTTAAATTACACATTATATAGCATATTTATCCTAAGAAAATATTAAACTAGGATACTATTTTAGGCATTAAGGTTGCAGAGAGAGTAATTTTCAGAGTAATAAATGTAATTTTAATTAATAACCATAAAAATGCAGACTAATATTTAACATCATAAAAAGCAAATTAAAAAAAACAAAAACTTTCCAACTACACATTGAAGTCTTAAAAACCCAAACTTGCATGTTAATTCTGATCCTCCAACAGCACCATATGAAGCCACTTCAGTCCAACAGCTTCCATATTTTAAAAGCCATATGTATGAGTGGTAACTGTACTTCACGCATCTGTTCCCCAAAGAAGTCTAAAGAAAAATTCCTCAGTGCCAAGAAGTGGTCTTGGAGCAGGAAGGAAAAAAACCCACACAATCAATTCCACTCCCACTCTACCCAAGCCTCCAGCAGATTATTAAGAAGCAACTTCATACTGACCCAGGGGGAAAAAAAAAAAAAAAATCCACCTTTCCAGATTATTTTTAAGATGTATATTAGAGGAAGGAAGGAGAAGGAAAAAAAAAACACCAAACCACACCACTGAGTTAGCAACCTAGTGTACCCCTGCCTCCCACAAAATAAAAATATAAATGCAAAAGATACCCTAGTTTATAGAAACCTGCACCTCAGAGGCCCCCACCAATGGTGTCCCCAATGCAACCAGCAATACTTATACCAAAAGAACCTGCCACAAGGTGTCCTGAAGTTCAGTTTTGGGGGTTCAGGGGGGTTTGGACACTATACCAAGCGGCATGCAGTATTTCTAAATAGCCATGTTTTACAGGCAGGGTATCTCAGGGAGATTGCTCTGGTTTAATAAACAGAGAGACCTTTCACTGATGCATGCTACCAGCTAAAGCTACTGAAACATATTAAACCAAATTGTGTCCTTTATGCAAAGTATTTTACAACCACAGGATATTTCCCCTTGCACCTAAAAAGTCATCAGCATTCAGGCTCCCAACAGATAACCTCTCCTGGATGCTGAGGATGATGTATTAACAGACAGCTGGTACCTGGAGGAGTTCCTCACTGCCCTGACAAGACATTTCTGCCCTCGCAGCTTGGCTAGCAAGAACAGTTTATACCCAGCATACCCAGCACTCCCTAACCCACTTCAGACATAAAGTCAGCCTGCTGGCAGAGGCCAACTAGTTAACCCATCTAAATTAATCCAGCTGACTCTGCTCAAAGCAGAGCAGGGAGCACTCACCCCAAACTGCTCCACCAGCAGATCTGAGGGTGTGGTGACCTCCAGCAAAGAGACAGCAATATTCCTTGGGCGGGGGACAATTATGATAGCAACTACTACTGCCGCTTGCACAATGAGCATCTGTCCACGATTTATCTGTGCCATTACATTTCAAGTAGTCCCGTCGATTCTTGGAAGAGCTCTTATCATGCTCAGATATTCATGCTCCTTTCCAACAAGGCAGCAAAACCAGATCTAAGACTTAAATACCACCACCATCGCTTATGATGGGCTCTGCTTTACAATGGTACTTCCCTAATTTGCAGAATAGTGCCCAAGCAGACGCTGTTGAACAAAGAGGCCTTCCTTGCTGTATTTCATTAAAAATCCTCTTTAATTGGCTGTTTCTCTCTACCCCAAGTGTTGCAGCATTACTACTCTCCAAGTTCCTCTTCCCATCTTGCATTTTTAGAGACCTGGAATGCTCTTTCATGTTATGCGTCAAATTCAAGAGAAAATTACTTAAGTGTCATTTCTAATCCCTGCAGGTCTCTGCCATCCCAAACGTTCAAGATCTTCCAGTTCCATTAATTTGAACATC